GCCCCGGCCCGCCTCGCCGCCCCCGCCGCCGCTCCCCCCCGCCGCCGCGCCCGCCGCCGCCTCGAGCGCCGCCACCGCCTTTGCCTTGGCCGCCGCGAGCGCCGCCTCCGTAGCACCGTCGGCGGGCGGTGCGTCGCGTCTCCGCAGCTCCGCCGCCCCGCAGACCTGCCGGCTCCCGTCGGAGAGGCGGACGTACACATCGCCGTCCTCGTCGACCCGGACCACGCTGCCCCTCTCCCCGCCGCGCGGACCGCACACCAACTCGACGCCGTCGCCGCGCGAGAGCGGGGCGGGCGGGGAGGAGGGGGCGAGCGGGGAGGGCGGGGCGGCGGGCGCGGGAGGAGGGGAAGCGGGCGGCCGCGACGGCGTCTTGGGCGCGATGCGGCTCTCGGCAGCCGGCGGGGCCGCAGCAGCGCCGCCCATCGCCACCGCCCCGGCGCCGCCCTCCGCCTTGACGGCAGGCTCAGCCTCGCACGGAGAGGCAGCTGGCCGCCCCTCCCCCGCTCGGGGCCGCGTGCGCCGCCGCGGCGCCGGCGACTCTTGCGCAGCGTCGCGCGCCCCACGCGGAAGCTCGCCCTCCAAGGCACCCGACGGCAGCCGCGCTGCGGCCGCGGGCGAGACGGGAGGTGGAGCCTTGCGCGCCTGACGAGCGGCGGGTGGCAGCGTTCGAGCCGGTGCAGATTGCTCCCGGATTGAGCCCGCTGCCGTGCCGGCCGCGGTTGCGGTCGCGGTCTTCCTAATGCCGCTCTGCTGGTCGCCGGTACCACAGCTGGCGTTGGCGTTGGCGGGAGAGGCGGGTGGCGCTGCAGACCCCTGCTGCTGCCACCACCAGAAGGCGTACGCGTCAGAGCTGTGGAGCGGCCCGCTCGAGACGGCGCCGTTCGCTCTCACGGTGCTCGGCCGGGGAGGCTGGGTCGGTGCAGCAGCTTGCGGCGTGAGGCCGACCGGCGCCTGGCCGGGCGCAAAGAAGCTACCCGGGGAGAGCAAGTGTGACACCAGCGCGCTGTCGCCGTGGTCAGCGCGTCCACCGGCGAGGAAGATCCGGGAGAAGGCTCGGACGAAGTGAGCGTCGTCGTCCATGCTTGCACAGCCTCACAGGGTTCGACATTTTTGGTGGTAGGAATCACATGCATCGTCACGGCCAAAGGGTGGGGGGTATGGTCCTGGCCGCCGGAGGCGGCCTCCTCGAGGGGTGGGGGGGTATGGTCAGGCTGGCGGCCCTCTCCAGGGGTATGGTCATGCTGCTGGTCTGCACCACACCGGCAACGCTTTCGGCACGTTTTGTGGGCGAGCGGGACGCATCCTGGCACTATCTGGCCCATCTATGACAGTGACGACCTACTATGAGCCTGAGAAGTCCCTTTCCTGAACATTAAGGTCTGCTGGCGCCGCGGTCAGCTCGATCCGGGAGCGTTCGACCAGACGACCGGGGGGGAGGGGGGGTATGGTCCTGCCGGCCAGAGGCCATGTCCTGCGCGGGTGGGGGGGTATGGTCGCGGCGCCAGATCCGTGACCCTACCATACCTTACCAGCCAAAAACGTCGAACCCAGCCTTGTAATGAGAAAAAAATACGAGAAGAAAATACGTCCCGCGGCGCTATGCGCTGGTCTGTGATAAAGGATCCCAAACGCACAACCCCGGCACAGGAACGCACAACCCCGCTACCCCGGGCCCGCTGGGTGCGCTTCTTAGCTCCCCGGCCCTGGATGTGCGGTTAATGACGGCACTCCAGATGATGTTTTGTTGCACTCCAAGTGCTCCAAATGCTCCCGGGCCCGAAAATCGCACAGAGACAATCACGCAACACGGGGTCCCAGGGAAGGCCTTCACCCTTTGGGGACCCGCTGTGTGCGGCGGCATGAACACCTAAAGGGTGAATGAGTCGCCCCTCTCCTTGGCCTTGCCCGGGGCGATATGTGAGAGAGATATACAGATTTTTCGCAATACCAACAACTCTAACACCTCAAGAAGGAGAGAGGCCTCCTTATCAGCTGGTCGGCCGCCATGTGGGCCTCCGGGCCTGCGGCGGCGGCGCGGCCGGTTGAGGCCGGGCTCGGCCCGGCCCGCGACGGCTGGCCGCCGACGAGCGCGCTCGCGCTGCTCGTCAAAATGGCAGCGGTGTCGATTGCGGCGACGGTCGTTCAGTCGCTCAGCGGACAGCGCTCAGGCGGCTGTCGTCTGTCAACTGTTGTCGCAATTCGCACACGCGCGCGCCGCGCGCGACCCGCGTCGCTCCGCGAGGGCATGAGCCTTCCGCGATTCGATCCCGCAGCCAAAAGCTGCTCGCTCGAACCGCGGCCGACTCTGCCATCGCGGCTGCAGCTGTTGAGCTCTCCAGAAGACTGGTGCCTCATATGCTGCCTCCCTGCGGATGCTGCCGGCGAGCCTGGCGGTCCGCTGTACTACAAGGAAGCGCTGACTCGATTCTACCTCGAATTCTTCTACCCCCACGACTCGGAACGCGAATGTGACAGGACCATCGGGTCCTTCAGCCACCAAAGGCAAAGCGAGATCAGCCGAGAGCAGCTGAGTCTGCCTCTGGCCTCGCCTCCCTCTCCTTCAGGCATTCGTGGCATCCTATGGGTCGTCCAGAGTATCGACCTCTGGCTTGTCAGCCAGCCCCACTTTGAGGGCGCCATGAAGTACAGCGATCGCCATCTCGCTGGCCTCTCCGCAAGGCCCCCTGACCGCGTCGAACTCAACGGCGCGGGCTCTCTCGGCTACGGGACCGGCCCCAGCTTCGGCTGAGGGCTGACAAGCTGCCGAGCCCAAATCACTGTGAGAGTCGTGATTGCTCTTGTTGATTTTCTAAAATCTCTCTCACACATCATTTGCAGATCATTGGGGCAGCCTGGAGCCCCGGCAGTTAAAGCTTCGAGTGAACTTCTCTTTCAAGCTTCGTGGAAAACATATCTTCAAGGGAGTTGCCCTGTTCACGCGCGGGCGCGCGCGAGACCGCGCGTGCAATCAGGGTTGCCAAGTGAGAGCGAATGGCGCGTTTCTTATGTTCTTCACGCCTCGCACAACAGAGTCAGAGAGAGAGATGCGCTCTGCATGGTGGGACATAAAAGAGAGCGCGAGTACTTGGGCGAGTAGGCCGTGCGGTCAACGCTGCCCCGCGCGCGACTCGTTGCGCGCGAGGCGGCGCAGCTGCGCCGCCTCGCGCGCAGCTTGAGAACGGCGGTGGGCGAGAAGCCGCCCCCGAACGTCTCGTGGAGCAGCAGGTTGAAGTTTTGCGCTTGACAAAGATTTTGTGTGTTGATATGTGGGTGAGAGAGATTTCAGCAATATACCAAACAACTCTCTATAGCACTCATTGTTTGATATGTGTAGGGTAAGCCGTCATGGCCCGGCGCTGCTTGCAGCGCTCTGGGTGGTGCTACTCCAAGAGTGGTGCTCTTGGGATCTCAAGAGGTTCCTCCTTTCCGCTCACCCCCCCCCCCCCCCAAGGGCCAAGGCGCGAGACACACACATGTACATGTTGTTGTTGTGCATGCATTGATTTGTGACACAGTGTCGTGTGCGACCTGCAGGTGGGGGGGACATGCGCACCCGAGGGAGTTTGCAGTCCCCCCCGGCCCCCGGCCGCCCGCCCTGGCGCGCGGCGGCGCGGCGGCGGCCACATACGCATACCCGCCCATAGCCTTCGCCGGAGGCTTCGTCCACAGCTGCTGCGGTGGCGGCCGCAGAACTGGTGCGTGGTGGCGGCGGCCGCATGGCAGGCGTTGAGCCTGCGGGTGGATTGGCGTGTTGGGGCTGGTGCTGGGCCGCGACCAGAGCTCTGATACCATGTGTGACTGATACCCGTGACGAAAAACGAACACACTCCAAGCGCTAAGCGTGAGGACACGATTTCGAATTCGTAGCACGTAGGAGCATCTGAGCAAAATTGAGCCCGCTCAGGTGTGAACAAAAATTATAAGGGTCGAGCAGGTTTCGAACTGGGGAACTCCCGCCAGCGGGAAGGCATCCATCAAGAGACGCTGCGATTGAAAGGAGGTCTCAGCTCGGGAAACCTATATAGCATACCGGAGGAAGTAGACACAGATACGCACACACCGACGCCCGAAGTGCCAAGAAGGACATCATTAGTACGAAACCTCAGAAGGCCATGGGCGCCGAGAGAACATTCCCCCGAGAGGACAAAAGAAAGTCGACGCACCCCCTCCTTGCGCAGTGTCCCCCGCTATGTGTCGCCGTTATCGGGGCACGCTATCCTGTGCAGTCAGGGCAAGCGGGGGCGAGGCGCACTCCCATCTCTCCTGTGTACGGATGGTGACTGTCCCTAGTCTCGGAGGGGGGCAAACAGATAAGAATATCTAATTTTTGATACCCCATGTGCGTATCTGTGTGACTGCGGAGTTGACGTCTCCGTCGGTCGTGGCGGCGTGGCTGAGGGCGGCGCTGGAGGCGCCCGAGGGCGGGGCGTGGCTGGTCTCATGGGTCTAGCAAACCATAGACCACGCTGAGAGAACGCAACGCTAAACCCAGCGAGTGTATACCTCCCGCGTACGGTCTACGGAGACGAAAACGACGATCCAACATCTCCATTCATTCACACACACGGGGCTCGGGGGGGGTTTCGGTGGGCGGTTGGATGGGAGGTAGATTGTCTACGTACCGCAGGACCCTATCGTTACGTTGACACTTCGCTCGGATAGATGCTAGACACCGTGAAGAGGGTATTTGAAGGATACGCAAGTACCACCACGCACACTATGACAGTCACTCTCGCGACTCTGCTGTTGGTCTGCTGCTCAGCTCCTCTGGCCACGCACGTCTACTGCGCCCTGAGCAGCGCCTCCACCTGCGCCCGCTGCTCCGCAGGCAGCGCCGCCATCTGCTCTGGCGAGATAAGCTTCAGCTGAGCTAACAACGACTCGCGCTGCGCGGCGGCGGCGGCCGCCGCCGCCGCATCAGGTCGTGGAGGCTGTGGCGGTTGCGACGGCGGCGGCGCAGGCGCAGGCGCAGGCACAGGCACAGGCGCGGGCGGTGCAGAGGGTGTCGGCGTCGGCTGGTGAGGCGTCGGCTGCTGCTGTCCGGGATGCGGCGCTGCGGCCAGCTGCGCCTGCAGGGCCGGCCCAGCGTCGCGGATGCTCTGCGCCAAGTTGAGGCCGAGCCGGATCTGGGCTCGAAGCACCTGCTAGCAGAGGAGGGGCATGAGGGTGGTGGGCAGGGAAGCCCTGTCTGCGAGGTGCGGCCGGCGTACCGCCATCGCGAGTGCCGGCTGCTCAACGAGCCGTCGGCGAGCGGCGTCAACGTCTTGCGCTATCTGCGCCTGCAACTCGAGCACCGCCTCTCGAAGGGTGTCGTCTGGTTCCGCGTCGATGCGGTCGCGCAGCTCGTCGAACCCGAGGCCCGTCACTGCTGCGCCGAGTAGCTCGAGCGCTCCTGGCATCGAGGAGTGTAAGAGGCGAAGTTCGCCTGCCTGGCGAGTAGAGCCACGCCTGCTATTCACAGCACAAGCCCTCGCCCGAGGGCTCGGGCATGCGCAGCGAAAAGCAGGCGTGCTCGCCAGGAAGTTCGCAAAGAAATCGCAGGCACAAAAGAAATCGCGAAACAAAACAAAACATTTTTCAGACCGCCGGATACGACCGCTCCCCAGCCTTCGCCTCAGCCGCAAATCGACGGCGGGCGCGAGGGTTTGGGAGATCGGGCACGGTGCGGACGCCGCTATGTGAGAGCCGCGGGCGCTGTCTCAGCGCCCCAAGCCACACATGTGCAGCGATGGGCGAGTATGCTGGCCTCAGAGGAGAGGGAGGGACGACAATTCACGAGCATGGCAGGCACGGGCGACAAGCGGGTCACAGCGGTGGCGAATCAGCAGCGAATCAGCCTCTTGGAGGGGCGGCGGCTAGACGAGCTCGTTGGAGCCGTCCGAGGCGGAGCGCACCTGGCGCCGGGCCGCGACGGGCGCGCCGCGACTACTCGAGAGGGCCTTTCTGGGTTTCTCCCGATGTGCTCAGCACGTTGCTCCGCCGATGTCGCACGCCAGCGGCACTCGGCGCTATGAGACGTGTCATCCCAGGGCCGCATACAGTGCATACAGCTCGGTATGGCGGTACATGCTTCGGGCCGGCACCCCAGCAGGACGTCGGATTATTGCCTCGCACGCGGGCCAAGGGCATGATGCTACGGGTCCCCAACCAATATTGGATCCGGCAGCGTGCGGGGGACGACGTGCGGGCGGCTGAACATCTTGCTCGAGCTCTACTTTGGCGGAGACCGCCGTCTAGCGGTCGCACTAGTCTCTTTTCGTTGTTTGACCTGTTTGTTTGACCATACTTTGAGCCTTAATTATTAATTCGTGTTTGGGTCTCTGAGGTCGATACTAGCGTCTGTAACTTGCCACAAGCATGCTTTACAAAAGTCCTGCGGAGCGGGACTCGCAGAACTGCCGTCCGCGCGCGCTGTGAACAGCGCCGTGGTCAAACACTGTTCAACGTCGTTGAACACGTAGCGAAAGAGAGACCGCTGAGCTCTCTACGCGAGCTTTGCGGGTGGGGGGCGTTGGGCGCGAGAGGCGGCGGGGGCCGGGGGGGGGGGCGCGCGGGGCGCCGCGCGGGAGCGACATGGAGAGACTACTGTGCGCGTGGTTTTGTGAGCATTCTTCTCGACTCTTTCCGTCTTTCTCGACTTTCTGAATATATTAATAAGACTTTCTCCTGCACCACGATATCCACGTTACTCACCATAGTAGGGGGTAGACAAAGCACCAAAATCCACCAGTGTGGGATTTCGCGCAATCGCTTGACTCTGAAAAGCTCGCTATGTACCTTTCTGAGCGCTGTGGTCGCCGCAGACTGGCTCCAACTTGACGGCGGCATGGAGACATGATGCCTCCATGCCGCCGTCAAGTCGAAATCGACATACAGATCGATGGTTTGCCCGAAAAGGTACATAGCGGCGTTTCTGGTGACAACAGCGCTGCGACCGCGAAGTGGCGGTGGACATGCTCCCACGTTGCCGACGCGGCGCCGGAGTGGCCGGCGCTGCTCGCCGCGACCACGACGGCTACTCTGATGCTCCGGGCCGACCCGTCCTACCCGACGGTGGCACTCTTCCACGTCTCGGTCACGCTGAGAAAAATTCTGAAACGGCGTGCAGCAGAGTCACCGACGAGTCGGTCCGCGTGACTCCTCGTGTCGCGCACCGTTCTCACCCATCCATGGACTCACTTTGGCCTCACTGAAGCAAGCCCTCAATCCTGAATCCTCAGATTTTAGATTAGGACGCTGTCTACCCCCTAACCATAGAACAAAAAGCTCTTGTGAAGATATCCGAACCGCACTACACACCGCACCCTCTCGCTAGCCCGAACCATAACGGGGGGGGGGGGGACCGCCGCGCAACGCTGGCGCCTCGCCTAACAGCGCCCTCAACAGCTTCGATTTGTGATCGAAGCTTTCGAAGTTATCGATCAACACTTTCGATAGACCGAAAGTAAGATCGTTCGGTGCAGAAACGCCGGCCATGCCCATGTAACGCACTTGTGCTCGCTTTTGGTTTAGAAGTGTCTCCAAGTCTTCTGGACCCATCGATGGCCGTCGCCTCGACGCCGCTCGTCGCGGCACCATCGTGCCCGGCCTGGGCGAAGCGTCGTCGCGGGTTCCCGCCGCAGTTCGACGGCAAGCCGTGCGAGCCTGCCGAGGAGGAGGACATGTGGCTGTGCAGAGCCGACGGCCGCGCGCGCAGCACCGCCGACCTGAAGCGCCTGGCGACCGCCGCTCGGGTGCGAGCGAAACGAGCAGGAGATGCAGCCGCCGCGAACACGCGCGATCGGCAGGCGCGCGACCAGCGCCGCCGGCAGCGTGAGCAGCACGACCGGCGCGCAGCGCCGGCGGTCGCCAAGACCGTGCGCCCACAACGCGGCCACGGCGCACGCGGTGTGCGGCATGTGCGTCGACCAGGGCAAGCTCGCCGCGGCCGAGCAGGCGGCCATCGACCTGGAGACGCGCTTCCACGCCTCGACGAACGTCGTCATGGACCTGGAGCGGCCCGAGGACGAGACGGCGGCGCTGCTGCAGCGCTGCGTGCACGTCTCCGACGAGACGAAGCGGCGGCTGCTGGGCGAGTGGAGCGACGAGCGCATGGCGCACGCGCTGCCGCTGCACGCATGCGCCTCGTGCGGCGTGCGCGACCCGTCGCTGACGTACACGCGGGTTGACGTGTCGGCGCTGCCGCGTACTGTGTCTGTGCGCGTAGCCGGCGGCGAAGACGAGACGCGGCACGTGTTTGAGCTCTCGCCCGAGCAGTGCGCTAAGTATCGAGGTCTTCAAAACAAAAAGGTGCGCCTTGCGTTGGTGAAATTTAGAAAAGGAGTTGCGGTGTTGATCGCCGCGGGAGCCCTCTTATCTCGCCTCGCGAGGTTGCCAATCTCGTGGGTCGAATGTGATGGGCTTCATCTTTGGCTGACAGAGGCTGGAGAAGACCAGATGGTCTTCGACACCGCCTCGCTGCTCTCCGACCCGCTGGCGCAGGAGCAAGGGCTGGAGCCGGTGGCGGGCTGCCCCGACCCGACCCTCAGCGTCGGCGCCACCAGCAGCGCCGTCATGGCCCACTTCCGAGGCCTCGCCGTCGCCGAGGTCAAGATCGCGTCACGACGCCGCGACCCTCTGCGCCTTGTCTCGCACTAGCGCCTGCAGCCGCTCCCAGAAGTCGCACTCTCGCGCCCGAGGCGGCACCTCCACCCGAAAGGGGGGTGGCGCCGTGGCATCCTCTCGGATCGAGAGCACCAGCTGCGCCTCAGACCCGTTTCGGTAGGCGGGCCACGCTGCTGGCGGCAGCGGCTGTGCGCGCGAGGCAAACGCGGCCCACATGCCGCCGATCGCGACGGAGAGCAAGCGCTCGGCGGGCGTGAAGCTCGTGTTTCCGCTGTCGATCCAGCTGCCCCGCTCGAAGACGAATGGAACCTCGCTGCCGTGCGTGACGCCCCAATCCACCGGCTCGGAGGTGTCGTCCCTCGCCCGCTGGTCGAAGCGGTAGAGGTAGGCGCGGTTGCCCCGAGAGCTCATCGCGTGCCGCACCGAAACAGAAAGTCGGTGGCAAGGGCTGCGGCCAACTTTGCGTTGTCGGCGGCAGGCCGAGGAGGGTACACCGCCAGCACGTCCGAGAGGTTCGCACGCGGCACCTCGAGGCGCAGAGTAAGCTTGGAGATGTAGTCGGTGTAGGCAGCCGCGGAGAGCGGCCGCTTCACGGCCGGCAGCACAAAGCCGGAGCCCTCGTCGGTGTTTGTCCCTCCGAGGAGAGCGACGCGAGCCAGCGCGCCGCTCGCGACAAGCTCAAAGGGCCTCGCGGGCACCTCGACGCCGTCGACGACCGAGGCGAAGGTGCGCTGGTCGAGGAAGCCGCCGCCCGGCGGAGGAGCAGTGGCGGCGGAGGCGGCGCGCCAGAGGCGTGCGATCGGCGCTGCGCGCAGGCAGGAGAGCACGGCCTGGCCGCCCCTCCGCTGGGCCTCACCGCAGCCGCTGTGGCGAAAGAAGTCCGCGGCGAGCTCCTCGGCGGCGCCGGCCGGAGTGGCGATGGGCGATCCGCTCTCCATGAGCGCTGCGCTAAACAGGCCGCGGGAGGCGGGCGAGAGGAGGTGGAGCGCGACCGAGCTGGCGCCGGCGCTCTCCCCAAAGATGCAGAGCCGGCGCGGGTCGCCGCCAAACGCGGCGATGTTGCTCCGGACCCAGCGCAGCGCGCTCCGCTGGTCCTTCAGGCCCCAGTTGGCGCGGCCCTCGGAGAGCCGCGCCCAGCCCAGCGCGCCGAGCCGGTAGTTTGTGGTCACCACCACCACTCTGTGCCTCGCGGCCAGCCGGCTCGAGTTGTACTCGCCGCCGCTCCCGCTGAGAAAGTCGCCGCCGTGCACAAAGAAGAGGACCGGGAGGGGAACGGTCGACGGCGCCGGAGCCCAGACGTTGAGAAAGAGGCAGTCCTCCGAGCCTTGAAAGCCGTCGCCGGCTGTGACGGTAGGCTGCACGCAGACGCTGCCGGGCCGCATCGCCAGGCGCACGCCGCCCTCGAATGGCGCCGACCAGTCGATGGGATCCGCAAAGCGGCGCGGAGGCTCCGCAAATGGGACACCGAGGTACTGGTGAACGCTAACACTGCCCTCGCCGAGGGCAGTGCCGTGGAGCATGCCGAATCGAGTCGTCGCCGAGGCTGACATGGAGGAGGAGGAGGAGAAGAGGACTGTGTGAGAGGACAACGAGCGCAAGTACGGCGACGGTGCTTTGCTACTGTCGCCAGCCGAAGCAGCTTGGTGTCAGGCGAACCGACCGTGCACGACGCAAACGAACCGACTTCCAGTCTACTCGAGTACTCATGGTGTAGTCTTTCGCGTTAGTATCGAGGCTCGCGAGTCTTGGGGGTTCTCGGCGCCGCGACAGCGCTGCGAGCAGCGCGATGCCACGGCGCTCGGCCTGCTGAGAGAAGACCTTCCCGGACGGCAGCGACAAGTTACCCGACATCAATCGTCGACGGCAACCTCGAGAAAGAACTGCGCGTCCAAAGTCGCCCAGATTCGCCTCTCGCGGCGCGCTGAGTTAGTATCGCCGGTGCGCCAGCAGGCTCTGCTCCACAACAGGGCATGCCTGACTGGCTCCTGCTAGCCGTGCATCCTGGTGGCATCCATAGCCAGCTCAGGCGCGTTGTTTGTGAAACCGCAGCTGGCCCCGCCGACGGGTAGCACAGGTCATGAGTGAGGCCACGCCAGCTGCCTCGAGTGCTCCGTGTGGTCGGCCTGGACCTTGCCGCAAGCCTCGAGCAGCGGAGAAGCGCTGTTCTTGAAGTCCAGACGTGCTTCGCCGCCGTGGCGCAGCGCCGCAGTGCGAGCGAGCACTGCAGTGCAGTGCTCGCTTGCAGTGCGGCACCCATTCGACTCCCTGCGCTCCGGGCACATTGTCAAATGTGCCGGCGACCTTGTGGACGGCTCGGGCACGATTTGCACGACGGTGCGGCGGCTCGAGGCGGCCGTCCCTATCATAAAAAGTAGCCACGAAAACCGCGGCACCCCACTTCGATTTGGTCGATTTGGCGACCCTCCCGCCGAGCCCGCCCCTGCCTCCCGGGGGCCCGGCCGACCATGCCAGCTGGCGCCCGGCCGGCTGGCGGGCCCAACCCGAAGCCCCCGGCCGCTCGGCGGCGCCATTCGGCCGACGGGTCCAGCCGTGCGGCGCCCGGTCGCCCGCCACAGGACCGAGCCCGACCGGCCCACACGCACGGCCTGGCCTGAGCCCTGGTGTCGAGGTGTCGAGGCCCGGTGTCGAGGGTGTCGAGCTGCTGTCGAGGGGTAGAGGAGACGACGGCGCTCTGGATGGGGCGTGACCTCCTGCCTCCAACCTCCTTCCTTTTTGAGCAGGTGTGACGCCGCGCGAGCGACGCTCCGAGATCGCCCGAGATAGCGCGGCGCGGCCCCGAGATCGCCCGAGATAGCGCGAGATCGCCCGAGATTGCGCGGCGCGGCCCGGGGCGAGGTGGATGGGTTGGGAGCGAGGGGGCGGAAGTGACCAGTGCGGTAGAGGGTCAGCTCGAGGCGCGTGAGCCGGACTTGGGAGCCGGACCACCCCCTCTTGTTATCTGCGTTGTTGAGCCAGGACTCAACATACTCGGGCTGTTGCCATCCCAAACTGTCACTCCCCTTTCTCCCGGCCGGGGCGGGGCGCGCGCGGGGGCGGCGGGTGTGCGGCGAGTGTGCGGGATGTCTGTGGGCCCGAGAGCGATATGCCATGTCCGCCTTGCGTTGTTTCATAACACCGAAGGCTAAGCTCAAAAAAAACTTACACGTAATGCGGCGTCGACCGATACACGCGCTCTCTACACGGTGTGTAGACTCTACAAGGGTGACACAGTGCAGCCACGACAGAGAGTGCGCTCGGGCAGGTCGGTACTTGTGCACCTCACGGCATCACACACAGCCGAAACACCATGGAGAAGAAGACTGCCCGTAGTCGCCTTCGAGGGGCCGAGCGCACACACCACACGGACATGGGCCCCGCACCGAGCCGGAGCGTGACATGCCCGCTGCTGCGGCCCAGCACGCGCCATGCACTGATGGCTGAGCGCGTCACCACCTGTTCTTGCATCCACAGGCATGGTAAGTCAGTGCTGGTGCTCCACCTTTGCCGGCGGGACCACGCGAGAACTTGTTTGTGTGTGCCTGTCGTAGCGTTGCGGCGACTGTGCAGTTGCAGTGGAGTTGCAGTGGAACGACGCCAATGCCAATCGATTTTGGGAGATGCTATGTGACTGGAAGGGCCATCTGACCGCAAGTTTGCCCATCAGCTGCGAGGCTGCGCCATCATGGGTGAGCTTTCGCTGCCAACCGTCGAATCCAACAACAAAGACTTGTAAAATCACGCGGCCAACAAACTCACCGGTGCGTTTTTAAATACTAAAAAGTGGAAGCTGGCAGCTTCCACTTTTTCAGTGTACGTACTTTTTAGCTTACTGGGAGAAAAGAGAGATGGGGTTGTGTTCTCTAGGCCCCTAGGGGCCCTACGCGCGGCGTGAGAGCTCGGAAGCGAGCTTAGCACGGCGATCGAGGATGGCACGGTTCACCCCCTTCACCGAAGCGATGGAGATGCGTTCCGCGTGGTGTGAGTCTCTCTCTCAGTGTATGTAGCTCTTACGTACATTCCCGTAGGAGACTCTGCTGCTTAGTAGTTAAATTCGCGGGAAGACATGCAAGTTAAATAAAAAGAAGTTAAACATGGGAAGCATGTCTGGGCAGATCTAGCTCATAAACATCTTTCATCAGGTCCCAGGGAGCTTGCACATGTGTCGAAAATCTACTCCTCGTCACAAGCCCAAGCCTCTTCGTCACCTACCCCCCCTTCCGACTCACTCACTGTCCCACTCCCCCTCACCGTCCCCACCCCCCTCCCCCTCCCTCTCTTCGCAGTCGCCTCGTATGTGCACGCGTGTATCGGTTGGCGCGCTCTCTATCGTTTGGCAGGCTCACGCACTTGTACATGAATACATTTATTCATAGGTAGGTAGGTATTCATACTCATGAGTACCGTGAGTCCGTGAGACGTGACTATTCATATTTCATGGATCGTCCGCGATGGTTCGCGGCGTCGACGCGACCAACAAGACGCAGAGCGGCGGCCGGATCAGCAGGCTCAACAAGTTCCAAACTAGGGCGCAGGCCATCTCAAACGCGACGCGGGCCATCCACGAGCGCGACAAGCGCGTCGCCGCCGCGCAGCGGGAGCTTCGGTCTCGCGAGGACGCCCAGGCCGCAGCGCGGCTCGCGAGACACTCTGGCTATGACCCGAAGGGGTCACTACTGTCAGACGGCGAGGCCGCGGCTCTCGCAGACAGGCGTCGTCGAGAAGCCAAAGCGGCGAAGGCGGCTCGGTTCCTCGCAGAGGCGGAGAGGGCGGCCGCGCTGCTCGAGTCGGACTGCGACGGCGGCGGCGGCGCCAACGGTGACGGCGCTGCCTCCGACGCCGCGACTGACGGCTCCGAGGCGGCGACTCCTCCGGCGCCGCTGCACGCCGTTCGCTGCGCGGCGCCGCTGCCGGAGCTTCTCACCGTGATTGTCACCACCTCTCCGCTGCCGCGCCACCCGTGCAGCCGCCTGCTCGACGAGATTGTCCGCTCGGTGCACCGGCATTGCGCCGGCGCCGCCAGCTGCAGGCGTTCGAGCCGCGTCCCTTGGCGGCGGCGGAGAGAGAGGGTGCGGCTGAGGTGCTCAGCCTTGAGAGCAGCGTCATCTTGGGAGCAGGCTGCTCCTCGTGGCGGACGGCTACGTCGAGGTGCGGGGCGAGAGCGCGTACAAGCGCGGCCGCGTCCCCTCCGACGTGGCCGCGGCGTACGAGTCGCACAAGCAGGCGTTGCGCGCCGTCATCTCCGCGGGCGCAGCCCCGTACCGCACCGCAGAGCTGCTCGAGCAGCCGCGGCACCAGGGCTTCAGCTGGTCCGTCTGCCGCGCGCTGCGCGCGGTGCAGACCCCTTTCGTGCTGGTGGTGCAGCACGATCGGCCGCTGATGAGGGACGTCCCCATCGGGCCGCTCCTCGAGGCAAAAGAACGCCCGCCCCGCACCGCCACCCACGCCGCCTGCCCCCACCGACCTCACCGCCCCCGCCGCCCTCCCGTCACCGCCCCGCCCCGCCCCCCTCCCCTCACCGCCCCCCTCCCCTCTAGGCGATGGCTTCCCTCCCGCGCCTCGAGCATGTCTCGCTACCCACCGGCCGGACGCTGCAGTACGAGAGGCGCCCCTGCGCGGCACAGTGCGCAGCCGCGCAGGGCCCTTCTCTCGCGCACCCTTCTCGCGCCCCTCCCGGCAGGCAAACCTACGCCAAGTACGCCATCCCGCTCGACGGCTCCGACGTCGCCGCGCACGGTCTGCGCTTCCTCCCCTTGCTCGCCTTTCTCGACTCGACGCACTTTGCGGCCACGCACGCGTACCTCGCGCTGATGCGGAGGCACCGGCTGCGGCGAGGTGAGTGGACGGTCTCCCCGCCCCTTCCCCACCGCCCCCCTGTGCTGCCTCACCGCCTTCCCCCCCCCCCTCCCCCCCTCCCCCTCCCGTGCCGCCTCACCGCGGCCCCTTCTCTCTGCAGGCGACTTTACCGAGGACTCGCTCGGCCAGGCGCAGCTCGCAGAGATCCGCACTCGCGGTCTGTCTGCCCACGGCCGCTACGGCACGTGGGTCCTCGACGACGGCGACGAGCGCGTGATGGTCTCCCACCTCGACGGAAGAGACAGCCGCGCGCTCGACAAGTTTGCGCCTGCGCGGCCCTGCCCGATCGCGCCGCCGCAGCGGCAGCGGCGGGCGCACGTCGGAGGGGCGGCGCGGGGCGGGGAGGAGGGCTCGGCCGAGGAGGGGGCAGCGCGGGCGGGCTCGGACCTCTGCGCGTGCTGTGCCTGCGCCTCCCTCCGGGAGGACCCGCTGCGCTCTGGGGCGAGGGCGGTGCTGCGCCTGTGGGCGGTGAGGCGCGCCGTGCCCGGCGGCGAGGAGGGCGGCGAGGGCGGCGGCGGCGAGGAGGGCGGCAAGGAGGGCGGCGGCAGGACCGGCCGTGGTGCTCAGGGGGGCGCGCCGAGGCGGTTTGAGCTGAGGGTCCGGGTCTGTCTGCGCACGTGGAGCCGCGAGGGCGGCGGCGGAGCCTCCGGAGAAGGGGCGTGTGTAGTGTGCTTCCGCCACGGGCCTCACTGCGACACTCACGGGGGAGCTAAGAAGCGCACCCAGCGGGCCGGATGATCGGCATCGGGTTGCGGGCAAGAGAGCCCTAGCCCTGGGGGGCTGGGCGCTGGGGGGTGCGCCCGTTCGCAGGGAAAGGGCCGTAAAGTAAACACGGTTCTCCGAGGGTTGGCCCCGCGTACCGGGTTTCCCCTTAACTGCAGGACGCCCCCTCTACTCGGAGCTAATGTGAACACCACACTGCACACCCCACACCACCACTCCGCACTCACTGGCGCAGGCACTTGAGTAGACCCCCCCGCCTGAGGGCTCACCCCCCGTCTTCCCAGGGTTCCGACCCTCCTTGATTCGCTCTCTTGCTCGTCTCCCGAGCGTCATGCGACGGCCGGTGTGGTCGTTTCCCTCGTTGTTGGTGTCGCTCCTCCGCGGCCGTCCTTCGTCCTCGCCAGCTTCTCCCGGCTCCACCGATTCCGAGGGCGTCGACCGCCCGGCCGAGGCGCTCCCCGGGCGAGGACAGCGGCATTGGGTCGCGTCGTTCAACTCACACAACTGCCCCCCCTGCGCGCGGGAGCGGCGGGCCGGCGCGCCGGCCCTGGGGGTTTCACAGACCTTGGTATTAAGAATAAAAATACGGTAAGGGCATGTGAGCGCCAAGATACATTATCTGTCCAGCCTGCGCGCGGGCCGCGCCGCGCGTGTCCGGTGTCCGTGTGCGCAACGCAAACGCACACTCTCGACGGCCTGCTGTACCCCGGACCACACATTGTAGCTAAGATTAGGGCTAGCGTGCACCCCGCCGGCGCGAGACCGATCGCGTCGACACTACCCCCCACCCAATCAAGAGCTCACTTCTTGGGAGCTCGCGGCAGCTTTGCCCCTAGCGCCCTCTCAATCTTTGCGATGATGGCATTGTTGGGGATCGCCTTGCCGCTCTCGTACTCGTTGATGACCTGTCGACCGGGGCGGGCGGACGTGTTGGGGGCGCGGCGGCGGAGGCATGCGAGCGTCGGCGGGCGGTTCCCGCCTGCGGCTGCATGTTGAGTTGAGTCGCGAGCTGCTTTTGCGTCAGTCCCTTGGCGGTCCGCGCCTGGGCGGGAGGGGATCGAAGCCGGAGGTGAGTGCGGCAGCGGCGGAACGGCGCGCCCCGGAGGCGCGGGCGCGCCTTCGAGATGGCCAGCCGCAGATCCTTGGACACCGTCTTATCTGCTCGCGGGCGGCAGGCGGGAGGTCGGCGCTGCAGGGGTGCGCCGCAGCAGCGGACGGGGCTCGCGCGGGGCGCGGCGCGCACGCTTCAGCTCCTCGGTCTCCGCATCCAGCTTCGCGGCGCTCATCCCCGTCCCCGTCTGCGTACCGCCGCCGCCGCCGCCGCCGCCGCCCGGCTTTTTCCCAGCATTCGGCGCCTTGCCGAACACAATGTTCGGCGTGTTGTGGTCGTCCCCGCGCATCTCGCCGCGCCTGCAGGTTGTGGTGGACGGAGGGCGGTGAGCCCGGGCGCGCCTTTCCTCCGCCGCGGAGGGATGGAGGCGCGCACGATGGCATGGTGTTGACGGCCGAGTCCAGGAAGGTCCCCCGGGGGGTGAGGGCGAAAGAATAAAAAATGGAGTAGCGCGACGGCTGGCCGCCGACGAGCGCGCTCGCGCTGCTCGTCAAAATGGCAGCGGTGTTGATTGCGGCGACGGTCGTTCAGTCGCTCAGCGCTCAGGCGCCTGTCGTCTTTCGTCTTTTGTCGCATTTCGCACACGCGCGCGCCGCGCGCGACCCGCGTTGCTCCGCGAGGGCATGAGCCTTCCGCGATTCGATCCCACAGCCAAAAACTGCTCGCTCGAACTGCGGCCGACTCCGCCATCGCGGCCGTAGTTGTTGAGCTCTCCAGAAAACTGGTGCCTCATATGCTGCCTCCCTGCGGATGCTGCCGGCGAGCCTGGCGGTCCGCTGTACTACAAGGAAGCGCTGACTCGATTCTACCTCGAATTCTTCTACCCCCACGACTCGGAACGCGAATGTGACAGGACCATCGGGTCCTTCAGCCACCAAAGCGGGATCACCCGAGAGCAGCTGAGCCTGCCTCTGGCCTCGCCTCCCTCTCCTTCAGGCATTCGTGGCATCCTATGGGTCGTCCAGAGTATCGACCTCTGGCGAGTCAGCCAGCCCCACTTTGAGGGCGCCATGAAGGTACCCGATCGCCATCTCGCTGGCCTCTCCGCAGGCCCCCCCGACCGCGTCGAACTCATCGGCGCGGGCTCTCTCGGCTACGGGACCGGCCCCAGCTTCGGCTGAGGGCTAACAAGCTGCCGAGCCCAAATCACTGTGTGGGTCGTGATTTCTTGTTGGTCTTCAAAAATCTCTCTCAAAACAAACAAAACAGGCGAAAAGAATTTTCCACGTCCGAAAAGAAAAAGCATCTGGTTTACAGCGATGTAGAGAGAGGACAGAAGAGAAGGGAGGAAGGAGGGAGGCGGAGGGAGCAGGGTTAGACGCTTAGACCGAACTTCTTACGTAGGGACAAGACAAGCGCCGAGCGCGGCGAAACGCGGGGACGAAAGCAAAGGAAGGCAGTGGTCCGCCACAGCCTCCAAAAATTAATTTTAACCCCCAAATCCTCCCTAAGCCAGATAAAAGAAAAATGAGCAGTCGCGGTGCCTGCGAGGCGCTGGAGCGAGGCGGAAGTGGTGCCACCTCCAGCCTAACCTCCTGCAATCAACACTAACGGTACAGACTTCGCTTACTCACAACCCGCCGGAGCAGCGGAAATGCTGCGTCCGTGCGACGCCATCGGGACGCTGTCGGTCCTTCGCCCGGACCGCTGGCACCTCTCGCCTGCGTTCGGCCTCGCGCTGCTGTCCGGCGGCAGCCCGTTCGTCTCGCGGCTCTACGGATTGGAGCCGCACGCTCCGTCGGACGGAGCGGTGCTCGCCGACGGCTCCAAGTGGCGCGGCACACCGAGTTGCCGGCTCGCCCGGGCGCTCTTCCACCGAGTACAGCCGGACGAGCCGCTTCGACCGACCACGAATCGGTCGCTTCCCGCGGCGCACCTCTCGCCGTCGCTCGTGGCGCACGTCCTGGCGCTCACACTGCGAGGGCGGCGGCTCGACACGTCTAGGACACGCCGGTGAGAGTCCACGACATACGTTCCCGCAGGCGCTCGCCGACGCAGGCGGCGGCGCCGACGCGGCGACGCACTCGGCGCTCAAGTCTGCGGTGTGCTCCGACACAGGGCTGGCGCTGCCGGCGCTGGCGCGCGAGACCGGCGTCACCATCGCGCGTTTCGAGCGGCTCGTCGAGGCGGTGCGAGACGCGGACATTGCCTTGCCTCGCCTCAAAGTGAATGCCTGCAGCGCACAACTGCAGAGAGACGGCCCGATTGACCCACGCCGCCGAGGATGAGCTGCATTACGTCTGAGAATATGCCTCCCGCTTCTCCGAGGTGCGCGACGCGGACGCCGACGGGTCGGCGTGCAGACATGGCCCCGCCGAGGGCCTGCCGCGGCGGGGCTCACTGCTTATGCTGCGGCTGCTGTGGCAGCGCGCCGCCGCCCGCGGCAAGCCGGCGCTGTGGCCGTTCTTCCGCGTGCTGCACGGCCGCTACGGCGCGGCGCTCACCGAGGCCGCCCTCCGACGCCCTCCTCCTCCTCCCCCCCCCCCCCCCTGTGTCCAGGGCACGTGAGCGACACCCGGTCCACGACGTGCCCCGCAGGCTGCCCTCCGTAGCCCGGGCTGGGCAGAGGCGCTCGCGTCGGAGGACGCGCCTCCGCCGGCTGGCTGGGCGGAGCGGCCTCCTGCCTCGAAGCTCGACCCCCCCTCCGCCCTCCGCGCCTCGATCGCCGTCCTGCTAGAGGGCGGCGGAGGACAGGGCGGCGGCGGAGGACGAGACGGCGGCGGCGGAGGACGAGACGGCGGCGGCGGAGGCGGCGGCGGCGACGTGGCGCTCGCCGAAGCGTTCGAGGTTGCGGCGGCCGCGGTGGCGCAGAGCGGCTGGCGGTGCCCTCCCTTGCAGGAGGAGCGGGTGAGCCCGTGCGAGGGTGCGCCGCCGGTGCTCGGCTGCCAGCTCTCGCGTTTCGGCGGTGCGTCGCGCGCTGTTCTCACGGCCGAGCGCGCTGTGCGCAGGTGCCTGACTGCGCCGAGCTCGTGCTGCGCGAGCTGCTCAATGCTCTGCTCTGGTCGGCCGAGGCGCAGGACTTTGACCCGTTCCGGCTCCCTGCCAGCGCGAGCGCCGGCCTCGTCGCGTTCTACTCGCAAGGCGGCGGCGCGCACTCGCCCGCCGCGGCGAGGGAGTGGATGAGGCTGGTGAGCGGTTTGCCCGGCGTCGCCTACTTCGACGAGGCTCTGCCGGCCGCCCGATCCTCCTCGCCGCCGGGCCCGCCGCCCCCGCCACTGCCTCCTCCTCTGCCGGGGCAGCGGGACCGCGCCGCGCCGCCGCGGCTGCGATACGAGATGCGGCCCGATGGCGGCAACATCCTTGCGGCTGCTGGGGCCTTGCTCGGCGTGAGCACGCCGACCGCCGGCGCGCTGCAGTCGCTCTGGCGTGAGCTGGAGCCCGACCGGCCGCTGTGCTTGCGCAGAGAGGTCGCGCAGGACGCACCGGCTGCTGGGCACGTCGAGGACACGTCCGTGACGCGTCGGTGGCACCGGCCGCAGGTGGGGCAGGACGACCGGCTGCTGCTGCTCGAGGGAGGCAGCCCCCTGTAGCTGCGGCTCGGCCTCTCCTCACCGAGTGGTTCTACTCACAGTCCACGGCGAGGACCAGGCGACCTCAAGCTCACCCTCGTCCTCTCCTCGGGCCGCAACCACGCTTACGCCATCCACCACGCCGCGCGCCCCGTGTGGCTGCGCACCGCCGCCGAGGAGGCGTGGAGGCGGTGGGAGCCAGCGCCGCGCGGAGAGCGGCTGCCTCCCGCCGCCCTCCTCGCCGCGGCTCTGCGCACTGCCCTCCTCTCGCCGCTCGCGGAGGCGTCGGCCGACTCGCTCGACCGGCTCGCGCCGCCGCGCAGCCGCGAGGCGCGTGCGGTTCAGAACCGGCGCGCCGAGCTCCGCGCCTCGTCTCCTCCCGCGGCTGCCGCCTCCCAGCCGCGGCTCGGCCACACCGTAGGCTGCTGCTCCTCTGCTCCGACCCGCGCAGCCCGCACGCGCTCGCCGCCTCCGTCTGCCGCCTCCTTTCTCCGCCAATGGACGACGAGGCCGACGCGACCCTCGCCGCCCGCGTCGTGCGGCAGCCACTTGCGTGCGGCGGCGCGTCGATGAGCGATGGCGACGCCCTCGCCCTCGCCCGCGCTCTCCGCCCGATGGCGCAGCGCGGCGGCCGACACGCGGCCGAGTTGCATGCGGCCGTCAGTGCCGTGCCGTCGCTCGCCGCTTGCCTGGCTCCGTCGCTGCCGCAGGCGACCGCGTGGAGCGTCTGGTTTGGAGCGCTCCGCGCGAGCGACCCAGCTGTTGCGTTGCGGCTCGGGTTGCGTGGGCTGCTATTGAGATGTGAGCAGACGTGATGCAGCACGACGCACTCGCTCAGCGAAGTGGGAGACACAATTTTCTAGGATGTAATGTGTCCCGAGATAGGTCACTCCTTTTCGCTATCTTGCTTCTTGTGAGTTGTTTCCCTTTTGGAGAGGGCAGAGGGGGGCCCCCCTTGGAGTCCATGCATTGGAGGGAGAAGGAAATGGGGAAGATATACTGGGCTGGGTTTTTAGGCATTGTGGGGTTGGCACTCCCATCGACCCTCATGACCTCCTGCGGTCTCTGAGATGGACACCAGTGGGTGTGGGACCACAGCCAGGATACACTCGAAGGCTGGGTAAGCAGTAGAGGTCGATACTCGACGCGTCCCACATGATCTGTGTCGCTGTCGGCACGCTGTCGACAGGACGTCGAGCGACACCGGTGGCAGTGCCACCCAGGAGTGGTCGGGCGGTCTCCCGTCATGAGAGAGCCACCATGTGATCCGTATGATGATTCCTGACAACCGCCTCAGTCAACTTTTGTCACAGTTCCCGCTCTGAGAGGAGCTGAGGGTCAGCTCGACAGCTGGAGCTGTGTCGCCGGCGTGCGGCGGCCTGCCTCCGGAGGTGCCTCTGAGGTGGACATTTTTTGGTCACCGTGAGAGAACGCGTTCGAATTTTCACTCCGGAACTTCAACTCCGCACGCGCACCGGCCAGGGCTACAATAGTGCCAGTGAGGCGGAGGCGCGAGTCGGAAGGCCGCGACCGTGATTTGGTCCCTTCGTTTTCCTACAATCGCTGTGAACCCAGCCACGTATGAAAATCGGGAAAATAGACACATAACAAATATTCGCGCACACCCTCTCCCGCTCCCGAGCGAGTTGCAAGAGGCGTGACAGAGAAAGGCGCGGAACCGAGGGGGCACCAATATCAGACAAGACACGCTCAAAGGGCTTGGCAGTTGGCACGCTGCAAGTGTACGTCAATGGACCACACAAGAGATCGAGTAAGCTTGAGACAAGGAGCTGACTATGCTCTCTTCGTCTGGGGCGTCTCGGCGCCGCGAGGGATTGCGGATGGCGACATTTGGGGTCGCGACCATTTCAGGTCGGTGTGAGGGACAGGGAGAGTTCAGCTCCCGGCGCCGTCTCCACCACTTGAGGGGAAGCCAAAGCTAGTCCGTCTTGGGCGACTTGTCGTCGGCCGTCAGGACGCAATCGCCAAAACTGCGTCCGTTCCGCTGCCGAACGACGTTGCGCGCGAGGCCGGCCGCCTCGAGCGCGCCGACGACCATCGCGCCGGGCAAGTCTCCCCACCGGCCCGGCCGGACGGCGAGGTTGGGGTGCGTGTGGTGGTGGTCGTGGTCGTCCTCGCCCACCGACGGCGAGATGAGGGACGAGATGCCTGCGGAAAGGGCAGGGCGGGTCGTGGGTGCGCGCGCGTAGACACGCCAGGCGCGGGCCGGGCGGGCGGAGCCACCGTCGAGGAAGACGTAGAGCGGCCACTCTCCGATTGTGTTCGGCGAATCCACCGCGTCGCACGCCTGAGAAGGTGAGGGGGGGGGTTAGAGGGGGCCGAGCGCACGCGCCGGCTGGCGGGGCAGGGTGTGGGCGGGGCGGGGAGGGCGCCTTGTTGGTGACGGAGGAGCGGCGGACACCCCCGCTGAAGTGGTTCTTCCCGGTCGCCGCCTTGTCCTCGGCGCCGCCTGGTTTGCGCGAGGGGCGGCAGGGGAGTGTGGCCCGGGTGCAGGGAGGGGTGCGGGTGGGGGGTCCCGCACCGATGGGGTGGTTGCGGACATTGAACCAGAGGGTGGCGACCATCCCGACCCACGAGGAGGTGAAGGAGACGAAGAGGCCTGCGGGGCATCGAGGGCAGGGACGGGTGTTGGGGGGGGGTTGAAAACGCCTGCCCCTGCCCCAGGGGGGGGGGGGGT